GAGTTCAATTCCCAGTACCAAAAAGAGCAGGTGAGAAAGGGAAACAGAGGGAGGGAGAAAAAGGGAGGATGTGAGAGAGGGAGTAAAGGATGAAGGAGAGGGGGAAGAAATCTAAACAGGCCAGAGGACCCCTGACTGCAGACAAGCCCTTCTCAGTATTAGCCCACTTCCTCGGTATCTGGCAGTACCTGACGCCATGTCTCCGACACAAAAATAGATATGCAGGTCAACAACCCAGAAATAACTTGATCACACACTCGAGGCGAGTCAATGAAGCCGGCAACACAAGTAACAGGGAAGGCTAGGCTCGAAAATCGGCCAGGAGGTCTCTGGCAGAACTTTTAAAGCCAAGGCATACTGGCACACATCTGTCATCCCAGCACTCGGGAGGCTGAAGCAGGAGGACCGAGGCTGAAGCATGAATTCCAGGCCAGCCTGGGCTACACGGGGTGACCCTGTCTCAAAAATCCAACCAAACAAAAAGAAAACAACTTAGAAGGAAGTTAAAGACCTAATGCTGCTACTTTTCCAGGTCTTTAATCAAATTGAAAGGGGAAGCATGGGCTGGGAACATAACTCAGTAGAAAAAGTGCTTGCCTGGCAAGTGCAAAGTCCTGAGCTCAATCTCCGGTACTGAGGGAAAAAAAGAAAAGAAAGGAAGGAAGGAAGGAGAAGCAATATTCCCAAACTCATTCCTGGAAGCAAACATTACCCTAATACCAAAATCAGAGAAGGACCCAACAAAGAGAACTATAGGCCAATCCTCCTAAGGAACATAGATGCAGAAATCCTGAAGAAGATACTGGAAAACAGTATGCAGCAAATCAAGAAAATCATACACCCTGACCAGGGAGGATTCATCCCAAGGAATGCAACAAACATAATACAGCAGATTAACAGGCCCAAAGATAAATAAATGCCATATGATCATCTCAATAGATGCAGAAAAAACATTTGACAAAGTCTAGCATCCATTCATGATTTAAAAAAAAAATTATGCAAAGTTGGAATAGATGTCTTTCCCTCAATCTGATAAAAGCCATCTGATAAACCAACAGCCAACATCACATTAAGTGGACTAAACCTGAAAGCTTTTTTTCTAAAATCAGAAACAAGACAGGGAGTCCCTCTGTCACTACTCTTATTCACTATAGTGCTGGAAACATTAGCCAGAACT